AGGAAATTTGAAAAAGCTTTCATTTTTGGTCAACTGACACCTCTTTTTCTCCCCCCTGATTTTCTTTGGTTTGGCCAACAGCTAATAGCTTGCACAACTGTTTTTTAGAAGACTCTTACAGTGGCATACTACCATTAATGCCCCTCATCAAAGAAGCTAAAACTTACGTATAAATAAACTTAATTATAACCAGTAAGACAAAAATACAATAATATTAGGTGTTAAGAGCCTATGGCCAGTTCTGTGGTTACCCTTTGCTACTTAATTAGTAAATTAGTAGTAGATAACTAGTTTATGCCTTATGGTATCTTCACGATACTGTCTTAGAATTTGTGACTTAATTTGGAAAAAAAAGAACATCTTTGTGGCTTCAGGTATTAAGAATAGGAAATAGCACATTTTCAGCAAAGCTTGGCCCTGGTCAAAGCCTCTTGTGATGAGCTGGGTCTAAATTGTCCTACAAGGCCCCTAGTTTCTGCGGCAGACTGGAAAATATATTATACCTTAATTTTAAATTTTATACAGAAATTTAATGAAAATAAAGTAATATATTCAGATATTCCCTTTCTTATTTACTTTTATATTACATTGTGGGATCAGTGTGAAATAAATTCAGTTCTGTTTTTTGTTGCGATACAGATCTTGAATTTGTGCTGGAAGGAAGTTAATTTGGATCAGTCTTACACTTAACACCAGGATGATTCCCCCCAGTAGTTGTTGGAGTCATGTATTTGGGGTGGGGTGGGGCAGAGCCCAGGCTCTCCTATCTCTTGCTATTCACTAGTCTTCCATCTGTGCAAGAAGGATGGTAGTGACAGTCTTTGTCCTCCTCTACCAAAACATAGTGGAGAGACCTAAGGGGGTTTCCTCCTTGTAGTTCTCTGCATGGGACTACTAGATAAGCCACAAGTTAGCTCTAAGCTGTCATTTTTAGGTTTCTCTGATATTTGTCTCTGAGATTTGTCATTTCACACTACCTGCAGACACTGGAATTGATTATATCAATTGTTTATATTCAGTTTGTGATTATAAAGTTTTGCTTGCCACCACAAAGTCTAAGAAATGTTTTGGTTTTTTTTAATATTTAAATAAAAATTCAGATTCTTTATATGTACAGTAAGTTTTGGGACCTGTGGCAAATTCCACAGCTGGCAAATTGTGAGCACTTAGAGTTCTGGCTCCCCTGATTTTGGACAGAGTTTTTTATCATTGGACACAAATTGATAATTTAGTGCCAAATCCCGCTGTCAGAATCCTTCATCTAGTTCTCACTGATTTCAGTTAGATCTCTCTCTCATTATATATAACTCCTATTCTTTCGCACAGAGAGAGAGAGAGAGAGAGAGAGAGAGTGTGTGTGTGTTGGTTGACAAAATTTAGCTCTGTATATAACCTAAGATGTTTTGTAGACATTCTGTATGAAGCGTATTTTGCCTAGCTCTAGGGAGGGGTACAGTAGTGCAGTTTCACCCTCCCTTTGATTCCTGGTCCACCCAAAGTTTAAAAGCAACTGTCTGACTGCAGCAGCAGCATTTCTAGTCTGTTCTATTCAAGCAGCAGTGAGGCAGTGACTTGGCTTCATGTTTCATTATAATCTGTGTGATTCTTTCTGAGCTCTTCATTCTACAGGTGTTAACAACCCCCTCACCTTTCTAATGGTCTTGATGTCCCATTAGTCAAGTATCCTTTCTTCTGCAAGTCTGCTCTCTGTAGCTGTTCCTAGTAATGTATCTCCTATTTCACAGTCCTGCAGGCTGTTTTTAACTCTAGCTAAAAACATTAACTCAGGTGAATGTTAATGCAGCTGTGGAAATAACTTTCTGCAAAATATTGGGCACATTGTCAAAACACTCAGGAAGGACTAGATTTTTGTTTTATGAATCTTAAAAGGAGATGTGCATTTAATTCCAATGATTACAACACTAATAAAACAACATCTTTTGATTGTTTTTGCTTAATCTGTTGTGGCTTTTAATATATAATATATGATATAACACATTACTGTACATTCCAATAAAGTTATATTTGTTTTTGCTTTAATCTTAAACTGAATGATCTTGCCCTAAGCACCTAGCACAGTCAGAAAACTTCTAGTAACTGGAGAAAAATGTATTGCATTTGTGATGATGCACCACAGCTTTGGCACCCCAATTTTCAGAATCCTAGATCTGCCTATGTCTACTTCTAATGTATCTGCATTATTGGCCAGAAATGTGGTTGCAGTTTTTAAATCAGTTTTAAAATAGGGTTGTTTCTGTTTGTTTTCATGTTTTAGAAGTGAAATCAAGAATAATCTAACTTTCTGAGTACAGGAATACTTTAGATAAATAGACTAAATTACATATGTTGGATCATATCAGTGGGCATTAAACATGTTGAAAGACAAGTTTAAGGTCTGCGTGTGAATAGGTTTTGGACTCTTCCACCTCAGAAGTTGTTCTTAGAGTCTTCTTCAGAATCCTAGACTTTCTTACTGCTTGTTCTTTTCTACCTAATTTCCTTCTACCTAATCCCAAAAGGCCTTCTTGGGACCTGCGTTTTATGCACATTTGAAATGTATGATTATCAGAATTCTTTTCATTCTATTTCTCTTTCTACTTCGTAGAGCAATAACCTGTGTCTCTCCTGTTTCAGATGACCAGTGATGTGAAACATAAAGTAGTTTATGTTATAAAAAACACTGCAGAATGCATTGGACCAGATAATTACAAACAAGACATCATGTTTGCTGAGTTGTCTGACACACCACTTGAACACACAATTATCTTAATAGAAGAGGTATTTATAACAAGATACTTGTGAAACAGTTTAAAATCTGATTTCTGCATATACTTTAACTTAAACCAGAGAGGTGACTACTGAAAAAATAACTCTTAAATGAAGAGATTTTTTTGGATATTGGAAGTATTGTGTAGCATGAAGTACACATTCTTGGTTCTATTTAAATTACTGGAGCCAGCCCACAGTAATATGTGTTGGGTTGTGGGTTTTTTTGTCCAGAGGGTGTCATTATGACGGGTCACAAGTCAGTTCTCTTATAACTAGTCATAACCTTTTATTCGGGAATATTGAGTTGATGAAGTCAACATGTTTAAGGTTAAAAGTATATACAAATATAATATTCATAGCCATATGAGTGTACAGATGCAAAATCTTTTTATTCTCAAGTGGTATTTTATAAGAAGGGGGTATAGAACAGATGAGAAGTACGTAGAAGTTTCTATCACAAGTAGACTTTTTAAGTTGACTCTGTCATTGTGATAATGATACTGTATCATGGCTGAGACTTCTTTTGAAAGAAGAGGAAAAATGTATATACAACTTTTTTTTTTAATCTTGTCATTCTTTGGGTGGTGTTTCTTTCTTTAATATAATTGCCTATTTAACAGCAGGTAACTGATGAAGTAATCAAATCAGAGTCCATTCACTTGGTATACCTATAATTTCCTTTGTATACAGAAGCACAGCAATTTTTTTCCTGAAACTTTTCCTTTTGGCACTTGACGTTGATGGGTATTCAGGGTTTCGGGTAGGCAGGAATGGTTTTCCTGTACTACAAACATTTGAAATTTCAGGGAAAAAGTCCTTTTCTACATTGAGATAAACAGACTTATTTCACAAAAATATTTCACAAAAAATGAGAACAAGATCAGCCCCAGGTTAAGCTCATACATTTCTAGTCAAATGCTCTTCCTTGAAATCTAGAACTCCAAGTGCAGCCTTTACATTAAGGGCAGAATTTAGTTTTGATATAAGACAACAACTTCTCTGATTCTGCTATCAACGGGGTAGATCTGAGTATGTTCTGGTCCTGAGAGACCTTTTCCAGTTAATCTTCAGTCAAAACTAGCATATTGTTATCAGAAGTGTGGTGAAGGGGGACAATGAGGGCACCAGCAAAAATGGCAACAACTATGCTGCTGGACTGGCCACTGCCATGCCACTGGCAACATAGCTAGTGACACTGCCCTATGTGCTGCTGCTGCTCAGGGTAGTCAGTCATCTTATTATGCCTCAGATTCTTACGGAAAGTGTTGTTTTCAGGAAGAGAAAATTATCTGCTGTTAAGATGCAATAATGCAGTATATTTAAATATGATAGCATGATCACTATTATTAATATTGATTAGTGGTTTTGAGAGTCTTGAATTACTACCCTGGGGTGGTAATGAAGTTTGAGAGGAAATAAAGGTTATGGGGCAGGGGAGACAAGCTGACAAAGAGAAAAGGAGATAATAGAAATGTAGCAAACTAGGAGGAAGACAAAGCATGGAAACTCCTGTGGGGTCAGGATTTCACCCATATTATCTTGAGAATACTGGGAATCCATTTCAGAGAGGTTGGAAACGTTCTCTTTTTCAAAAATGTCACGAGCAAGAAAAACCGAGATATGGTCACAAATAGCATAATGAAAATAAGAGGGAAAATTACTGATGCATAAAAGAAATGTTCACGTATCAAATTTATTTGTGAGCTTGGTTTTATGAAAGTTAATGTAAACATCCAACTTGCTCAGATGCTTTTCCTATTAAAAAGGGCCATGCAGTTGAATGATAATTTTTTCCTGATTTGTTGCTATGGAAATTACATGGCAGAGATCAAGCATCTGGAATTTACTAGTAGTTGTACAAATCATATTTATAATGCTACTATAGCTTTGCCTATAAATGAATGCCTGTCCATACCCACAGATTTGTTCTCTCTTAGACAGGGTAGGTTAGAGCTTTGACTTTCTTTTTTCCTCACTCTTAGTTCCTTTTTTTTTCCCTTTGGTTGGGATGAAAGGGAAAAGTGATCAACATAGCAAATTGTTCACTTTTCTGAAGAAATTCAGTGGTTGTCCTCATTTGCTTTGTGTGTACTATCACTGCAACATGTAGTTACGCTGATCTCTCTTTGCATATGATACAATTTGAATATATATGTAGCAAAAGTAATTTATAAAGCCTAGTTTGTTTAAAACATTTTTGAGTTGTGGTTTGATTTAGTTATTCTTTGATGGTTTAATCAATAGTTTGTGAAGTAGCACTGAGAAACATTAAACATTTTAGCTGATTTGTAAAATTTCTGCCTTGCTCTGCCTCCAGATTTTAGCACCTCTTTTATCCAATAAGAAAAATCATGACTCTTGGCCACAGTTTATTTCACAAGACATGGAGCGTCATGTGGAAACTGTGAAAAATAAAGCACATATTATGAAGGAATTGATGTCAGGAAGAACCTTTCTTCCCATCCCAACAATTGTAGCAAAGACGGACTTACATGAGATATGTGCTGAAAATAAGTAAGGAATGATTATATTATGTTCCATGTAACATAGCAAAGAGTCATTGCACTTAATGGTGTTTCAGCCACAGTAATGCAAGTGGGTATTACTTCAAGAATCTATGTTGTAGCTGTGTTCGTCTGAGAAATAGAGATGCACAAAGCTCTTGGGTCAGAAGTGGCATCTTTTATTAAATCAACTAAATAGTAGCAAAAAAAAAATCTTTCTTTGCAAGCTTCTTCAGGCTGAGGAATTCTCCTCAGCCTGAAGAAGGGTATACATGCCCGAAAGCTTGCAAAGAGAGAAATTTTTTGCTACTATTTAGTTGGGTTAATAAAAGATATCGCCTCTGACCCAAGAGCTTTGTGCATCTCTAATAGGTATTACTCGCACTTGTGATTTAAAGTGATTTAGTTTTAAATTGCTTTTTTACTCACTTAAGCTAAACTGGTTTCAGTGTAAACTTCAGAGTAAAAATATCAACATGCACACATTTAGTGAAATAACAAAAAATGTAAATTAAAAGATTGAAATGTTTTGTTTCAAGTTCATCATTGACTATATCCAATCTCATCTTGGTGTTAAATATTTTTGCACGCTATATATACTAATTCAAGTTAAAAACATGAACTTATCTCAGTTTTGCTTGCTACCATCTTGCCTTCATAGTCCCAGTACCATTTCAGAAAAAATATTTATAAAAAAAATGCACTTTAAGAACTATTAAAGAATATTCACTAAAAGTGATATTCATACTAACGACTGTTGGTTTTTTTGCACTGGAAACCTCGTTCTAAGAGTTGTAATCCTTTCAGAAAATGAGAACAATGCAGTCTGATCTGTTGGTATATTCAACAGTAGCATTCAGATTTGAAGTATTAAATACTCAGTTAACCTTTCAGCTCATTTACAACCCTGTAAATATTAATTGACAATGTTTGCTCAACAACTTTGAATAACGAATAAATATGGAAATTTATATTTATGAACTCTTAATCTTTCCTAATAAAATCAGTCCTCCTGAGAACTTATTTGCAGTTCTTTGAAATTATCTATCCAGTGAGCACTGGACATGGGGTTCTAGGTGTGTTCACGCTGAAGTGGAAAGGAAGGCATATATTGTCACAGCAGTGCTTTTGCCTACCACTTGTAATTCAATGAAAACAAATAATAAATGTGTTTTCTGTTTTGTAGACAGGATTCTTATGCTAGGACAGTGCTACATGCAATTGAATCTATGATTATTAAATGGTCACATCAGATACGTGACATAGTTCAAAGGGATTCTGTTCAACTGCTTCTGCATGGCGTTTATCCAGACCCCCAAACTGAGCTCACCTTCTGGAAGGCAAGAAAAGATGATCTGTTATGTATACATGATCAAGTAAGTGATTTCAGATATCCTAATAAATATGATGGGAAGCCTATGGTTTTTTTTTTATTTTTGGATGGAAAACTTGTCACTCTTTACAGTGTTTCATTTTTGCAAATACCTTTGAGAAAATATGCTGAGTTATTATCTGAATATATAAATAATTGGCTTTCATAGCTGTTTCGGAACATAGTGGAGTTGAAATTGAGTGGGCAGTGCAAATTAATTGGGGGAATAGCAGAGCTTACAAGGCTCGCATGCTAGTGGGGAACTGTCTGGAATACTTAACTCCTTATTTCCAAGTTTTCTAATACTTGTATATTCTTCTAACGGTAAAGAATTTTGTATAATTATTTTTATAATTGTTATCCATGTTCATAAAATATATTTTCAATCTTAAATTAAAATAATTATCATTTTACTTAGGATTTTCTTTGTTTTTGCCTACTGCTTGTTTAACAAACAAGAGCTGTTTAAAATTGGTTGTTGTGTAAGGTCTGCAGAAGTCCTGTCTTCCCTACTTTTTTTTTGCTGTTCTATACCCTGCGTTCTTTCCATTCCTGGCATCTGCGTTGAACATATTTCTTCGTGTCATTCAAAATGAAAAACCCAAATTTGTAAGAAAGTAACATAGCTGACCAGGGCTGGCCCAAGAAGCTTTCTAACCCACACCTTAATTTGTATGACACTTCAAAATAAAAAATAAAGAACCAAAATATTTCATCATTTTCTATCCACCCTTTTGTATCGTGTCTGTAATTATATTTGTTTGTGTTTTGCGTGTGTGTGTCCAAGATCTGCTCAAAAACTATTGAGACTGAACGTGTATTTGTGGTACAAAGTATTGGGTCGGGGGCGTGGCTTTAAATCTGTTCAGTATCTTCATCAGCAACCTGGATGAGAGTGTGGAAAGCACTCTGTCCAAATTTGCACATAACACCAAGCTATGGGGCAAGGTAAATGCACTGATGGAAAGAAACCAAATCCAGGTGGACCTGGACAGGTTAGAGAAGTAGGAAGAGAACAATAAGATACAGTTCAACAAGGACAAGTGCAGAGTGGGAATCACCAGCACACCTATAGGCTGGGGAATGACCCTTTCAGCAGCACAGTGGCGGAGAGAGATCTCGGAGTTATTGTCAACTTCAAAATGAATACGAGTCATCATTAGTAGGTGCATCACAAACAGGTCCAGGGAGGTGATGGTTCCCCTCTATGTGGCATTGGTCAGGCCACAGCTGAAGTACTCCATCCAATTCTGGGTGCCACAATTCAAGAGGGATGTGGACAACCTTGAGAGGGTTCAGAGGAGGGCCACTTGTATGGTTAGAGGTCTGCAGGGAAGGCCCTATGAGGATAGGCTGAGGGACCTGGACCTTTTCAGCCTCCAGAAGAGAAGGCTTGTGGTAGTATACAAATTCACCAAGTGGGGACAGCAGGCAATAGGAGATGCTCTGTTTACCAGGGCACCCCTTGGAATAACCAGGAACAATGGCCACAAGCTGATGGAGAGTAAATTTAGGCTGGATGTCAGAAAGAACTTCTTCATGGTTAGGGTTGCCAGAATCTGGAACAGGCTTCCCAGGGGAGGTGGTGCTTTCCCCTACCTTGTGGGTCTTTGAGATGAGATTGGGCAAGCACCTGGCTGGGGTCACATGACCCCAGCACTTTTTCCTGCCATGGGCAGGGGGTCGGGCTCAGTGATCCATTGAGGTCCCTTCCAACCCTAGATTCTATGAATCTTATGTCTGGGCATGTTAGGACTCCTCTGGACAGGTTTGCAGCTCATGGTGTTTCCCCAGTTTTCTGTGGCCAGCAGTTGAACTAGGAACGTTTATGTCTCGAGTCCCCTTTCGTTATGTCAGTGTCCAGAACAATGTGTGTGCATTAAATTTTGCGTGAAAATTGGGAAAACGGCAAGTGAAACATTTGAATTACTTAAAACAGCATTTGGTGATGACACTATGAGCTATGCAAGAGTTTTTGAATGGTATCGTCAATTTAAAGATGGAGGATCATCGGTCGAAAGCAATGACTGTCCTGGACACCCTTCAATGTCACAAAATGATGAAAATGTGGCAGTGGTTCGCAGTTTGGTTCGAAATGATAGGCGACTGACTGTCCAAGAGATAGCAAGAGAAGTTGGAATTTCTGTTGGTTCATGTCATTCAATTCTAACCGGCGATTTGGGAATGAAACGACCAGAAAAGTGGGTGTCTGACTTTTAGGTGCTTCACCATGACATTGCACCTGCTCACTCACCACAGCTTGTGAAGCAATTTTTAGCCAAATTTTAGCCATACACCGTATCGCAAAAGTGCCACAGCCTCCATATTCACCTGATATGGCCTCATGTGACTTTTTTTCTCTTCCCTCAACTAAAGAAAACCTTGAAAGGAAGAAGATTTTGTGATGTGAAAACCATAAAACAAAACGTGACTGAGCAGCTTTTAGCAATTCCACAAATTGCTTATCAGAAGTGCTTCCAACAATAACAAAAATGTTGGGAGAAGTGTGTGACTTCAGAAGGAGCGTATTTCAAAGGAGATTAAGCCAAAACCCCTGTAAATGAAATATTTTGTTTCCTACAGCATCAGACTCCGTACTTTTTGAACAGCCTGTGTGTGTGTGCACACATATGGTTTCCTTCACCAACCATGAGGGTTAGGTTCCTGAAAGTTCCCATGGTTTAAAAAACCAGCAGGGCTGGGGGAGCAGAGGCTGTTGGTGGGGGGGTGAGGGACACCAGCAAGGCTGTGGAGGGTGGGGAGGGGAGTAGGAGGCATAAGCAAGGCCGGGGGGCTGTGGGTGGTATTTTCAGACTGTGTACCCCCTTCTCTGAAGCGTGGATACTCAAAACCGTGGTTGGCGAGGTACTCCTGTGTGTGTATAATATTAAACGCATGTAATTTTATTATTTATATGTGTGCGTGTGATTATTAGGGCTGTCAGTTAATTGTGATAAACATGTTAATTGTTTTTCGTGTTAATTTTTTAACACTTCAATTGCACGCGTGGTTTTGGAGCTCACTCCTGGGCCCACTCCCAGGCTCTGCTCTGTTACCATCACCACCGCCTCCAGGCTGTCCCCTGGGGCAGCAGTGGCAGCACAGAGGCCCACAGAGCAGCCTGGACGTGGACTTCAGGCACTGCAGCGGGGGGGAGAGGTACACAGACACGCAGTCGCAGCCTGCAGGCTGCTAAGAATGCAGTCCAGCGGTGTGTGGAGCAGCAACCAGAAGGTAAGTCTGAGAGTGGGAAAGGGGTGTGGGGGAGGGAGGGGAGGGGGGCAGATTGAGGCCCCCACAGTGAGGGAAGGACTGGGGTGAATGGGGCCCTGGGGCCAGGGTGGGTCGTAAGATGGAGTTGCAGCTTGTCCAGGGGCACGGGGGAGGGGGGAACAGCTGCTGTTCTCCCCCCCACCCCGGGGCAGGCACAGGGGCCATGTCCCCACTGGATTTGTGCACGAGGTGGAGCGGAAGCGAGCTGCTGCAACATGCTGCCTTTGTCCCAGGAGCATGTTGCTGGCTTTGCCCCGGGGCTCTGCAACATGCTGCCTTTGCCCCAGGAGCCATTCACTGGCTGCGCCACATCCCCTCCCCACCGAGCGGCAGGAGGCACAGCATGATGTCACACAGCTCCCAGGGTAAAGGCAGTGGGGCATAGAGCCACATGTGCAGCCCACCTCCACCCCTTACACAAATCTGGGAGGCACGTGCACCCCATGCCTTCCCTGGGGATATATGCAATAGTGAGAGCAGCCCCCATGCCCCTGGACGAACTGTGGGTCCATCCCACAACCCACCCTGATGCTGGTGCCCCATTCACCCCAGCCCCTGCCTCTGTCCCATTCCCTGTCTCACTGTGGGGCCCTTGATCTGCCTCCCCCATTCCCTTCCTCCTCCACAGACTTACCTGCTGGGTGATGTCTGTGTGTCTGTCTGCCCCTCACTCCCAAGCCACAGTACCCCACATCCTGTCAGGGTATGCGGAAACCCCCCCTCCCCTGGCTCAAAACTTCACACACACACCCACAACCCCCCACACCTTCACAAATTCATCCCCCATACACAGACACATCCCACACCCACGCCCAACCATACAAAGTATCTGCATAATTTTGTATAACTTTGAGGTTTTTCTGCACATCATTGAGTTTTTAGCTGCATGATTAAAATCGCGATTGTGACTAATTTTTTTTAATCACACAAATAATCGCAATCACATTTTTAATTGTTTGAGAGCCCTAGTTATTTTATTTATATAGATCTATACAGATTTATATAGATCTCTCACACATTGCATGTGTATATGTGTGTCTACTATATATATTATACACACGTGTATATATGTGTGTGTGTGCACTAATATATACACAGACATGTTTTAGCTCCTTTGCTTCTGTTTTTTCTTCCTTTTTATTGTTTGATCATTTAATCTAATATATATCTTTTACCTAACTCTTTCTCCTTCACTTGCTATCTTTTGTATACTGTTCTCACACCTAACTCAAATACCACATATAAAACAATACACAGAAGCATTTTTCCTTAGATCCTGCAAAATAAAAATTTTGCAGTTTATAAGCCAAAGCATTTTAAAGCCAAAAGAATAATTAGGAACAATTTCCAAAAATAAATACAAAGGACAATTTAATGCCTCATAGAGAAACTGATGCAGGGGGCTTTAGGATTCATTTTAATGGAAGAAGTCTAGTTAATTTTTTTGTGCTGGTTTGATCATGTCAATCTAAAATGTAATCTTAGAATCTGTTTCTGATTAATCTTCCCCAGAAAACTGTGCATAAGGGATAGCTGTTTCTTTCTGGGGGAAAAATGGGATAGAAAAACCAGAGTGGGAAGCTAGGTACTCCCTTATTTAGAAGTGAATGCTGCTATTTTGTAATACTGACTCGTTAAACTTTATATTATGAATCTGTCAACCATGTTTTATGAAAACCATTCTACTTTCAAAATCATATATATACACATAATATAAAGTTTAATGAGTCAGTATTACAAAGTAGCAAATATGAAATATGGCTAGGAAATGGAAAACAAATCTGTTGCCATCTTGTTTTAATTTCCTATTTCTTCTACACTAAATATTAGCCACGTTGTAATATAAATTAAACATCAAGACCCTAGTACATGCAATCCACTGTTTGCTGCAGGCACTAATTTTCTGTTTATTTTAACTGACATTTGATCAGCCCTGTACACTTGATCTTTCTTTTTCTTTTAAGTACTTCCTGGCTCCATTGAAATCAGTGGATTTCACCCTCTATCGCCTAAAATATGACCTTCTCCACCCTTTGACATAGACTTAAATTAAAGATGTTGTGGATTTACTTGAAGTTTTCTCTCTTGTTTGTGTAATTCTAGCTTTGGAATCCCGTTGTTCAAAAAATGGTTAAGATCTTAAAAGCCAAAGAGAGCAGCTACTATCCTGCTTCACAGAACATTTTCAAGGAGGTAGAAAATGGTAAGGGTAGCTTGAATGAGATTTATATTTTGCCTACATTTATGTATGTGTTGCAGAAAAATCCATAATATTGCTTCATGTACCACTATAGTATGCTGCTGCTAAGCTGTATCTCTGCTGCAGCAGCATGCGCACATTAAATCACGCTGGTTTTGTATTTCAGGTTTGCTCGTTATTTACTTTAAAAAGTTTATGTAGATATTTTTCTTCCATAAAAGCCAAGGAGAGATATAGCAGTAATTAAATAAATTAGTATGTGTTTTTGTAAACATTATTTTGGATCTTTCTCACATAGTAAATCTGTTAATAGGTAGGCTTTGTTGCTAATATGAGTAACTATGCAGTTAGTATATTACCACATATTCCTTTATCATTTTTTTGTATTTTATATATCACATGAAATATCAGTAAAATATAGGAGAAATAGACATTTTTGTTATGATGTCTTTCATCCTGTGATTTATTAGCTTTGCAAATAATTCAGATTTACAGCCTCCTTGTTAAATAGATCAGTATTGCCATGCACATTTTATAGATTGACATCTCTTTATCTATCTATTTACTGAAAGTCATACCCCAGCTAAGAATCCGAGATCAGGATAGAAACTCAGAGTACTCATTTGCTCCCCAATCTAATATATTTTGAAGACACAGTGAATCTTCAAACTGGTAACTAGACCCAGCCTTGAGTAACAAGCATCAGCCCGGTATTACCCCTTTGATTTCTTGAAGTGTAATGTAACTTACAATTGTAGACTGACAAAAATAGAAATGATTTTTCTTCCTAAGAATATCTGAGAGGCTTAAGACAACCACACCTCAGTAGAAGTCCTACTAAATTAACAGCTCCTCAGTGACCAAGTGTAGAGATAGTCAGCTCTTTGATCAACCTCTTGGGGAGGAAAAGAAACATGGATTGTGTAACAACATTAGTTACTAGAACCAGATCATATGGCTGAAAGTCTTCATTCTTTAATTTTTTTGAAAGATTTGAATAATGTAACAAAAGACTTTCCATACAGATTGAACAAGGCTAGCTTGTCCGAACTTGAATTCTCATCTAGTGTTACTTAAATGTGAACAAGGCTCTCTCAACCCTGTCTAGTTGCTAGAGTGGTGACCTTGCTGTGTTTCTATAACATAGCTTTTTAAGAAGGTACGTTATTGATTTATTGCTCATCCCCCATCTGTAGGACAAATGGCTTGCTTTATCTGCTCTGTCCTGTGTGAGCTGTCCAGCTTCAGTAATCCAACCAGGAATTAAATCAAAACTTTCAAGGTCACTGGAACACAAGCTTTCCTACCGCATCAAGGTGCAGGTGCTAGGAGAAGAATATCTTCTGATGAAGATGTGTTAATGATTGAATGGGGTCAAATCTTGGCAAGAAAGTGTCCACTTGGCCACACGATAGGCATACGTTTCAGAGTATTAATGCATGCCTGTTCCAAATTACACTCCTTAGAAAGTTTTACTTTTCACTGCTAGACAGTATAATTGGAGAAAGGGTTGCAGCTTTTGTGAGAGTTTCTCAATACAGATACTGTACAGAAAGGACAAACATTTGGAAAGACATAAGAATATATTGGACAATAAGAAAAGTAAATCACTAAGATCCACTTTAACATTATTTAGTTATGCTTTTTTTCCCTTGGCTTGTTTGTTGCATTTGCAGTTGTTGAGATGATATGAAGCAGGTAACAAGGTGGTCTACCAACGCTTCTGACTTTTACTACCTACTTGTGAAAACTAGTCTTCTAGTTTAAATTAAAAATTTAATTTACCTAGGGGAGTGTTATAGTTCCAGGGTTAACTGCATCTCAGTTCTTCCTAGGCTAGGTACAGACATTAAAAAAGCTTGAACCTGAATTGATTCAATTTTTGCAGGTTAGTCTAACCTGCACAGATTGAACCAATTTGCAAGTGAATAGACACACGCTTTTCATTCCGGAAATGCAGCCATGTGCCTGCAGTGGCTCAGGCCAGAAGCCGGGGGGTGCTAGAGTGAGTCCTCAGCTGGAGGGAAACTGAGCTGAGAGCGGGGTGTGGCCAGGCCCTGGCAGGCAGAGTATGATTGGGGAGAGGTTTAAACCGCCACCCTGGCCTGGTCCCCAGTTGGGTTGTGCCTAGAGGGGGAAGCAGCCTCTGCCAGGGGTCCCTGCTTCCCTCCCCATTCACTCGCTCACTACTCCAGCAGCAGGAGCTACACATGGTCAGACCCTGGTAGCCTGAGGGGAAGGGGGGCATTAATCCCCCCATTGCAGGTGGGGGGTGGTATAGGTACCAATAGGCTGAGCTCATGCACCCAGGGCCATAGCGGCTAGACACCGGTAGCCTAAGGGGAAGCGGGGAGTGGTGTAGTCACTGAAATAGTACTGGCTCCATCCCACACTGAAGATCTCCTCAGGCAAGGCCTGCACTGTAGCACCTCAACCAAGTCCCTTAGAGGAGCAGCACCTGAGGCTGAGGCAGGTCCAGAGGCAGGGGAGGGGAATGTGACCTGGCTGCAGGCACGGAGGATGGGCCAGAGGGAGCCATGGCTAATCATGGAGCCTGAATCACTGGTGCCTTCCGCTGCAGCAGCACTGCCCAGAGTGAGGCAGCTCTATGGGGAGGGGTTGGCACCCACCACCTCCCATTTCCAGCTCTGCATGGGGGCCATGGTTCACAGGCAGACTGCAGTTGGAGCATGGCTCCTCACCCTCCTCCCTCTCCAAGCAGTAGCAGAGTGAACCATCACAGCAGGTAGAGGTGAGGCACCTGTCACCCACCACATGCGGCAGCACTAGGCACTCAGAGTGGGCTGCTGCGGGCCAGTTGCTGCCCATGCCCTTGGGCCGTGGGGCCAGGCTCAACTGGGCTGCAGTGGGCCATTGCCTCTCCCTGCTGTTGCCCATGTCCCTGGCACACAGCAGCCCACCCCAAGTATCCAGCATCGCCATGAACAGGTGGCGGGCAACAGGTGCCTCACCTCTGCCCAGCATGTACTGTGGTGCAGGCCCTTGCCCCTACCTGAGGGGATCTTCAGCATGGGATGGAGCCAGCACCATGTCAGTGCCCATGCCATGCCCCCCTTCCCCTCAGGCTACTGGTGTCTAGCCACACTCCCACTCCTGCTTCTTGAGCAGCAAGGGGGGCTGGGGATGCCTGGCAAGGGCTGCTGCCCCCCTGCCAGGCAGACCTGGCTGCATTCCAGAGCAGGGTTTTGTACCCCCATCCCCTTCTCAGCCAGCCAGAGCAGTGATAGTGCTCTGGCTAGGGAGGAGAGGGGTAGGTCCAACCCTACGTGGCTGAAACAGCCCAGCCCAGCCCAAGGCTGCTGGGGGACTCTGATTTAATTTAAACCAGGAAGGAATCTGGGACAGAAGTTCCATAAACTGGGTTGGCCTCAGTTGGTTAAGTCTGATACTACAATTAACCAGGTTCACCTCAAACCAGTTTTGGCCATTTTGAAACTGTTTTATGTGCACTGAACTTCTGATCTGTTACAGGTTTAAATCAGTTTCTGATCACTTAAACCAGTTTGTGTAACTTCTGTCCCTAGCCCTAGCACGTGTGTTCAGCTGTCAGATCTCACACCTTTAGTTCAGGGTTAAATTTTGAAGTTTTCTTGCACTTTGCCATTTATTATAGTTTCTTACAATTTTGCTACACTAGCAAATAGCAATCCCTTTCTCTCCACGGCGCCAAGTTACCAGTGTTGGGAAAAGTGCTGCTGCTTGAACAAAAATGATTTTTAAAAAGACTGCAGATCTCAGACTTGCCTTCTCTACTTCCATGGAGACTAGCTTGAATTGAACAAGCATATTCCTGAAAAGGTCTTCAGTGTCTTCTGCATCACCCCAAGCTGATGTTGCAGCTGTTTGACTGAAGTCATAGGAACCACAGATTGAAGAGAGAGAACTGTGGTATATAGATCCCAAACTCATAGAAGCAGAAGTGGGTGGGGAAGAGCCTTAGGTTTCCACAGTATAACTGAGCCTGTATGTGGTCCTCTGCTGGCGTAAGTCCCAAAAACCTACAAACATTTTTCCCTGGATCAAGGTCTTCTTCATTTTGTAACCAAGGGAAAATTAAGTTTACTGAGTCAGGCTGTCTAACAATGTTTGTGATAAGCTTTCTAATCTTTAGAGTTATTTCTTTAGAAATATTTTCCTGTTCCTCTTAGACTGAAATAATTTTGAATTCTTCATGATCAAATTGATTCAGAAACCATCATTACTTAAGCTTCACCATTTTCTCTCTTCTCTTTGTACAGCACTTGTGGAAGCCCAAGATGTTGAACTGTATCTAAGACCACTGGGAAGGCACATTCAGTGTCTTCAGGAGGCAGAATTCCCAAAGATATATATTTTAATTCCTCCTTTATTTCACACCATCTGCCTGATCTGGAGTCAATCCAAGTTTTACAGCACGCCTGCACGAATAATAATCTTATTGCAGGAGTTCTGCAATCTGTTCATTGACCAGGTAGCTTAAAATGTGAATAACAACTGTATAAGTATCTAATAAATAAGCGCCAGTCAATATGCTAATAATAAGAGTCTGAATTTAGTCTATGTTCATCTCTTTTCTAATAAACAACACAAATACAGAAACTTAATTATCCTTTTGCAGAGATTTTAAGTAACCACTAAACCATTAAACCTGAAGCAGAGCTTAAATAATTACAACCATCAATTCTTCCATTTCACATTCTGTGTATTAAAAATGCAATAAGCTGCTCTTCTAAAGAAGAAAAGTATTCAAAACCATGCAGCACTCTAAGTTGTTTATATTGTTTATGTTGTTTTTCCTGATCATAGGCGAGTCTAGTGACTCTTTGTATCAGGTTTACCAGTAACTGTTTACTTATACAAATTGCGAAACTGTGATAAGAGTTACTCAAATCATGAAAGTAAGGGATTGCCTAACAATTTGTCAATGAATTATTGTGAAACACTGTTATTTGTTTTTCCACTGCCAATAAATTGTGACAATTAAATAGGGACAGGACTAGGAATTTAAAAAAATTATGACCATTTCCACTCTTCCCTTCCAAAATTGAAAAAAACATAAATAACAGTATGCCTTTATACAAATCCATGACGTGCCCATATCTTGAATACCGCTTGCAGTGCAGGTCACTCCATCTCAAAAAAAATATTGTAGAACTAGAAAAGATGTAGAAAATGGCAACAGAAAGAATCAAGAGTAGGGAACAGCTTCTTTTCAAATAGAGCCTGAAAGTCTTAGACTCGTCAGCTTAGACTGTACCTTGGATTGGCCTCATGTGCAACGTGCAGTGCGTGTACCAGTTGCAGCCCCTGCATGCTCCAGAGCACATGCCAGGCTAGTTCTGAGGCCTGCCTGAGGTGCATGCTGTACGCAGTGCCTATGTCAGACTGCTCTGCTTGTTGGATCTGGCATGTGGGCCAGTTTGCGGGCCTGATTTGGCATGCCTTCATCTAGTCCTCAGGGCCAGATGATTTTGATGTGCCCCTGATAGATCTCAAATCATGAATGGCCTGGAAAAAATGAATAAGGAACTGCTTTTCATTAAGTTTCATATTGCAAGATCTCAGGGGAACATAATGGAATTACCATGTGATGAGTTTAAAACAAACAAAAGGCAGTATTTTTTTTTGCAATGCATAATTAACTCATGGGACTTATTTATACAGGATGTTGCAGAAGTCAGTAGTATTACCAGGTTCAAAAAGGTTTAGACAGATTTATGGGGGATAGGTCCCCCATACAGGCTAGTCAAGGATGTAAACTTTGGCTCAGAGTATTCCTAATCCATGCATACTGTCACTGGGAATGTGTAAGGAGGGAAGGATCACTCTATGTATGCCCTGTTTCTTGTACTTTTTGTCAAGTGTATTCACTGTTTGTCGCTGTTGGAGACAGAATATTGGCCTTTGGTCTGATCCAGCATGGCAGTTCTCAGTATGTTCTTAATTTATAGCTATGAGATTAAATAACAAAAAAAGCAAAAATGGGTAGGAAGGGACATGAGTATGCTTTCATCCTCTATTTTATTTAAACAAACAAACAAAAAAAAAAAAACCCTCAGCAGGGATGGCAAATGAAGGAAAATAAAAATGAGCTGGTAGCCATGCTGAGGCAAAGCAACAGGGAAGAGATTTTTTTTTTTTTTTTTTTTTTTTACAAAGTACTGATAGAGTGCTCAAGTCAACAGAAGAAAATGGGCTTCTGAATCTTTAGTTAAGCTATTTTCCACAAATAATTTCATATTCTACCAATTCATTACATTAATTACTAACAATATTCATTGTTGTTAATTAATTGTACAATACCCGTTTTGGTGGAGTACTGTATTTACTCAAATACAAGATGAAGTGTTTTTTCCCCTCCATTGGCACGGGGAAAATTCATAGATTCATAGACGTTAGGGCTGGAAGGGACCTTGAAGATCATCAAGTCCAGCCCCCGCCCCAGGAGCAGGAAAGCAGCTAGGGTCAAAGGACCCCAGCAAGATAAGCATTCAAACATTTCTTGAATGAGCCCAGAATGGATGCCTGCACCACTTCTGGAGGGAGTCTATTCCAGACCTTGGGGGCTTGGACAGTAAAGAAATTTTTGTCCAGCCTAAAATAGTCTTGGAGGAGTTTATGACCGTTGGTCCTTGTTATCCCTCAGGGCACTCTGGTGAACAGACATTCCCCCAGATCCTGATGCACTTATAGGCAGCCACCAGGTCACTCCTGAGCCTGTGCTTCCCCAGGCTGAAGAGTCCCATGGCTCACAGCCTCTCTTCATAAGGCCTATTTTCTTGCCGTCTGATCACACGCATGGCTCTCCTCTGGACTCTCAAGCTTATTGACATCCTTCTTGAATTGTAGAGCCCAGAATTGGATGCAGTACTCCAGCTGTGGCCGCACCAAGACCGAGTACATCAGGAGGACAACATCCTGAGATTTACTTGAGAAGCATCTATGGATGCAAGCCAGAGTTTGGTTTGCTTTACCAGCTACGACATCGCATTGGTGGCTCATGTTCATCTTGTGGTCACTCATGACCCTCAAGTCTCTTTCAGCCGTGGTGCTAGCAAGCATAGCACTGCTGAGCCGATATGCATGCTGCAGGTTTTTTCCCCACCGAGGTGGAGTACCTTGCATTTATCAGTATTGAATGTCATCAGGTTTGTATCCACCCACTTACTAAGCTTATCCAAGTCAGCTTGGATCACTAGCCTATCCTCGGGTGTGGATGCTATGCCCCAAAGTTTAGTGTCATCGGCGAACTTAGCCAGTGCATTTCTGACACCAGTGTTCACATCATTGATGAATATGTTGAAGAGAACCAGTCCAAGGACAAAGCCTGGTCACGGAGCACCAAAATGATTTGCTACTGTCGGCTGCTACTCCCTGGGTCTGACCCTGAAGCCAATTTCCCAGCCATCAGACTGTGGTGTAGCCGAGGCCATAGCTGGCCAATTTTTCCATGAGGATTTCATAGGACACCAGATCAAAGGCTTTTTTAAAGTCCAGATATATGATGTCAATCTCTTCTCCCTTATCCAGGTGATATGAAACCTGGTCACAGAAGGAGATGAGATTGGTCAGGCAAGACCTACCCGCAACAAACTCGTGCTGGCTGTCCCTGAGGATGTCGCCCTCAGCCAGCTTATCAAGAAGGGTCTCTTTGATAATTTTCTCCAAAATCTTGATTGAGGTCAAGCTGATTGGCCTGTAATTCCTGGGGTCTACTTTCCACCCTTTCTTGAAGATGGGTACCACATTGACCTTCTTCCAGTCTTCAGGTACTTCACCTGAGCACCACGAGTATTTTTGCCAATGGTTGGGCTATGACACCTGCCAGCTCCTTGAGTACTCTAGGGTGTAATCTGACAGGACCAGCTGACTTGAAGGTGTCCAGCCTCTCAAGGTGTTCCTTTACAAGGTCTACACTGATGCTGGGTATAAATATGCCTTCACCCTGTCTGCCCCACATCCTGCTAGGCTGGGCAGTCCCTTTGGGCTGATGAAAGACCATCACAAAGTACCCATTAAGCAGGTTGGCTTTTTCCTGAGTGTCGGTTATCAGTTGTCCCATTTGGGTCAGCAGGGCGTCCAATGTTACCCTTGGTTTTTTTTTCCAACTCCCTACATATCTGAAAAAGGAAATTTTATAATCCTTGATATGTGAAGCCAGATGGCGTTCAGTTGCAGCCTTGGCTTTCCTGATCCTGTACTCCTCCTTGGTGGTGATTCTAGCCTTCTGTCCTTTATAAGTCTCTCTTTTGAGGCATAGGAGGTCCTCAAGTTCCCTGCTGATCCAAGGGGATTGCTGTGCCCTTTTGCTACCCTTCCTCCTAGATGGGATGGCCATCCCTTGTGCTGTCAGGATTGCTTCTCTGAGGAGCAACCACTCCTCTTGTCTTCTTATCACATACAAGGAAAATTCATTAAATCCATTATCTGTCACTAACTTGCTGCCAAAAGCAACGTGTGCTCAGCAGTGGAAACCACCTATGAAGTTGATCAAATGCAATCAATTGCTGAGCATGACTATAAAACATATGGCCCATTTTAGGCAAACATGCTGATCGGAATGTGTGTGTGTGTGTGTGTGTGTCCCTTAAAAAAAAAAAAAAAAAGTGGGTGGGTATTCCCTCCCTAGTGAACTGGCACAGGACTTCGAGGTACTGCATTACCAGGCTAGCATCAAGAGAGCCAGAAACAGCCCTGATATCTTTCCCTTGGTGCCAAAAATGCTACATTTGATCTTAACCAAAAAAGCTGAGATGGAAACATACCACAAGGATAGATTAATACAGCCTATCTTATAAGACACAGTATAGTGCCCATTGCTTTCACCCCCTCTCAGTGTCAATTCCTTTTCAAGTCATGGTGAGCCACTTGTGACATTTCATACATTTTTACTTCCACTTCACAGCTGAACTTTGCCTTTCTTTTCCATTTCCAATTATTCCTGTTCTCTCACCAGCCTTAAATGCCTGGCAAACATCACAAAATGGGGCCCCAGACAGTTCACCCACAATCCCTCTGTTGCCCCCTCTCTCAGCCTGTCACTTATGATTAGTGTGGCCCTGTCCTCCATGAGGAGAAGCTAGACCAGGTTACTCTGTGCCTCATTTACATATACATTTTTGCAGTATCCCAGGACTCAGGACAAGAACACAGTTCCAGTCATGTCTGAGGAGCTAATTAGCACACGGTTCCTTTTTTGTGGGGGGAGTACATTCACATACAGAGCAGTGCTGAGCTATGGGGTCACTATGGCTTGAAATCCTATTGACTCAGTTAGGGCTCAGCCCAATGAACTATGTGGTAAATCACGAGCCTTTTGGCTTTGAACTAATATCATGCATAGTTTGTACTATGTATAGGTAGGTGCCAACATGGTGCTTAAAAGTGTGTTTATGGAGTACCTGTGCTAAAACTTGCAGCAGTTTAAAAAAAAACCAACATGCATCAACTGGATGAGCAAAGTGTATGGGTACAGGATGCAAATTACTACAGCTATGTTTAATTGCAAGGTCATTGTCTTCAGATTTGCAGCTCCACACTTCCATGTGCTCAGGGAGAGTAAGGAGAGGGGGAAGGGGCCACTGGGGGTAGAAATTGGGGGAAGTAGAGGGGCAAAGGGACTACCTGATATCCCAGATTTATTTTCCCTGCTTTGGCAGTGGGAGGGGGATAAATTCAAGGCAAACCTCCTTAGCTTTTAGCCCTGTCAAATTATAACAAATTTATACATTTTCCATATATAAAATCTAATTATTCGGAGGTTATCTTATAATCAGGGTCATATTCCATTCATGTAAATATGGTGATATTGCTTAAATACTTTTTCAGAGACTAAATTTGATAGGTTACATTGAATGTTTCAATATGGCAAAATGCTTAGTATAAAAATAGATAGTGAGGAAAAATAAAGTTTCCAGTTGTAAGAACACTGTAAATAAAAGATTGATTGATTTGATTCATTTATTTGTTTATTTTTGCCTCCTTTCTCAGCAGAGCTTTGGGGTGGCTTACAATCAGAAACAGAGTAACTTATAAAATAATAAGACATGACTTCATTCTTTTATTTTATAAGTTATTCTGTTTTCTTATTGTAAAACAGCTTCAATGGGAAAATAGAGTATGAACATAAAACAGACTCCCTGTTCCCCCAGTAGTATTCCAGCCAGCTTTGTTTGCAAAATTCCTGCCCAAAGAGGAAGGTCTTACGCCACTTCTGAGCAATTGCTTGTTGAAGAAATACAGTAAGTGCATAGAAACAACCTTGTCCATTATTTATTACACAGAAAAAAGATTGGTTCACTTCATTTGGGATTTTGGGGAGAGACTATATCTAAAGGCACAATTTTAACAAACAACATAACATGACCAACCTTTATCTAATGCTATTATTTTATAAAAAATCATTTTGGATATTTGGTTATTGCTTTTTATTTGGGGGAAAAATTGGTTTGTTGTTTTTCAGTTTTGCAGTTTCAGTATTTTCCTCTAATTTTACCCTTAGAAGCCATTGAACTGAAAAGAAGTTTTAAAGAAACTTTCTAAAAAAATGTCAGCTGAAGACACATGCTGGGCATGGAAAACTTTGGCATGGGAAATTAAAGCTTTTAAAAATGAAAAGCAACCAGGAGTTTAAAAGTTCCAAGTAACAATACGTTATAATGGAAAACATTAATGCATCTTCACCAGAAAGGGCACTATCAGTAGTATCCATAATAGGTTTCTATATGTTTTTATGTGGCTATTTCTGGTATTCCCTTCAGATTGCCACACAGTGTTTGAAGGCCCTTTGCAAGCAAAGTTTCATGAATTTAGAAAATAAGAACACATCTGTGTTTGTATTCTACAGTTTGAAGAAGGTCCTGATCTCCAAGCTTATAGATGATAGAGATTAGCAATAAAATGAAAAATCCATCTCTAAGTTATTTTTCCCAAAGCCTTGTGAATCTGTTATGATTTTCCCTATGAACAAGACTTTGTACAGTCACTATTCAGAAAGATAGCACAATAAAGTTTAAATTTCATTCATTCATTATATGACATTTGGAGACATGTTCCATTACTGCAGATTGATTTAATGTTTTAAAATCATTGAACGGTAAGAGTTATAATCCAGTATAATAAAATAAGGTAGAATTTTAGGCAGAAAACTTTAATAAAGCAAAGAAGGTGAGAATTGTGTTTTGACTGAAGTCATGACCAGTTTTTAAAAGCACTGACTTTCTGTTTCCTCTGTGATTTTAATTAAATCCTAGGCTAGAGCATATCTCTCACCAGAAGATCTTTTGAAAGGAGAAACTGAAGAAGCATTGGAACATGTACAAATAGCTATAAATATTTTAAAGAGTTTCAAGAATTCATTTGTTAGCCACAGAAAAAAGTTGGAACGTTATTTCACCAATGGAAAGGAATTTAAACCATGGGATTTCCAGTCGAAGATGGTGTTTGCCAGATTTGACATGTTTTTCAACCGCTTAGTTAAAATTGAGGTATTATTTACAATTTGACATAGCCAAATTTCAAGTATTTTAGAATATCTGAGAAATATGGGGCTAGATCCAATAAATGACTTAAGAATCTAAAAGTTAAGTGGACCCTGGACCCTGGGGTAGAATCCAGAAACCAGAGCTGGGTACCTATGCGCTCCCTCTTCAGTCCATGGGGAGCATGAGTGACTGGTGCCTCCTGAACCTGGGGGGGCACCCGCAGAAGCTGCTGACCCTTCCAGGGGGGGCACCAGCCCTACCGACAGTGTCAGCTGTCGGGGGGGCACTGGCCCTGTCAGGGGGGCACGTGCACCCCAATTCACAGTTTACCAGTCGCCTATGATGGGGAGCTTCAGAATGGTGATCCAAATAAAGAGCAAGGAGCCACTGAGAGCTACCCAATAGGTAATATTAGGAAGACAGGAATGTCTATAACCCTGCCAAAGCTGTGATGCTTGATTGCTGCCCTGGATCACGCACCTGTCTAGACACTTGCGATCTACAATACAGAATCTTCTCCTGAGTGTGGGTCCCTACAACTGTTTGCAAACTGTACTACAACTTACTTTTCAGTTTTCTTAAAACTTTTTTTTCTTTTAAAACTTTTCTTTTATGATGGTACCCACTTATTAAAGACCCACCTACTATCTTAAGAGATAAAAGAACCAAAGGGTAGGTCCAATAAAAGGCTTTGATGGAATTTAGGTGCCTCGGTCAAAAATTGTGATCCAAAAAACCCATGTTCTATTGCCACTTAACCTCTGAGGCAACTTCACTCACCAGTCACCTCCCATGAATTCTGAATTCTTTTCTGTACGATGAAGCAACTTCTAGAGGAAGACAGATGGTATAAAAATATATTCAGAAACAGTTACTTTAATCTCTCTGGGTCAAGAGACAATGTTATGTGAATGCAGAAACCATGCATTTAATTTGGCACAGATTTTGAAGGTTATACTAGGTTCAGAGTTACTTATTTAACTTTTATGTTTAATTTCATAGCAGCATTATGAAAAGAAGTCAATATATTATCAATTAATATATTTTAGTAGCATTAATTCTTTCTGAACTGGAAGCAGACAAAATTATGCAAATATTTAACTTACATTAAATGTGGACAATTGTAATTTGCTCCTAATTCCTTTCTACATTTGCACATGAGACTGCAAGGGTGAACCCCATGTCCAGATGTAGTTATTTGCAGAAAACAGGCCTCCTTTTTGCACATCAGCTACTCAGGTTAATGTAGATTTTAACTCTGTTTCTCTCTCTCTCTCTCTCTCTCTCTCTCTCTCTCTCTCCTTTTGCTTTCGTCAAAATGATTCAAACTAGGCAAACAAGTCTTAGATAATATGTTTTTTCTTTGGTTTCTGTCAGGGCATATCATTAATTATATTTTTCACTGATTGATTTTAGAATATTTTTGTTAATATGTTGGAACTTCAAAAACTGGAAAAGCTGGAGTTTGGTGGAGTCAAGGGAAAAATCTTAAGTGAACAAACCTGCAGGATGAATGAAGAGTTTATGGAAACCTGCAGAGTTTTCAGAGAGAGAACATATGATCCCACAGATTACAATAACCTGGTAAGATTGCACTGGTGTTTCTTAATATTTTCTAAGGATACCTGTTAATAGATTTAGTAAGTGTGAATGAGAAATTCACAGCATAGAGTGTAGCCTGACCTACTGAAGTCAGGAGCACAACATCCCATCTAACTTCAGCATTTCTTGCTGGTCTAGTGCCTGTCTTCTCCAGAATAGGATTTTAAAAGTTTTCTTTTGGCAGTCTAGTTGAATTGTTTGGAAACTTTTTTTATGTAGATAGAACCTATCATGAACTATTCCAAATTTGAATGTAGGGCTTTTGAGATTTAAAAAAATGAATACTGTAATACAGTTCTTTGCTATCTACAATTCTGTTGCTGTTTACTTCTTATAATTAGCTTTGCTACAATCTTATTTCTAAAGTTTGCTAAGATATACCTCAGTGACTGCTTGCAGATGTGGAAAAAACGGTGCTTTACTTTAAGCTTGGCATGCTTCTGTGTCAAGCCCAGCACATGTCTGGAAGAGGCACCACGTTTCTTGGACCAGGCTCTCCCAACATCTGTATAAATCAGGCACTTTAGTAGGGCTTTTTTGGTGCTTTTATCTTATAGCTGATTTAATCAACTATTAAGTAAAAGCACAAAAAAGCCCTGCTGATGCATCCAATCTATACAGACACCATGGAGTTAGGCTGAACTAACATGCTGCTGCTTCTGATAAAGTGTGGGGGTTTTTTGTTTTGTTTTGTTTTCATGTCTGTCAGCAGCCATTATCAGTTTCAATATGTTTTGGACACGAGTAATAAACTGTAACTTCAAATAAATTATATTGGAAAGATGGGGTACAATATATTTGTAACGCGTTATCTAGCGCATCATGTTGCCTGACAATAATATTTAGCATTTTATAATATATTCACTAAAACTCTTTGGATATTTAGAACATGATTTGAAATCATGATGTTTTATATTGTGGTTAATGCTTTATAGCAGCTTCTTTTATTCATTTGAAGATTTCAAAATTGATTCATTAATTTTTATAATTAAATCTTGAAAACCAAATTTTTGGTTTTAAAGGATTCTATCTTCTTCTGCAATGATTCATCAAATGAAATTAGTCTGTAATCAAGCTGGCTAGTTACGTTTTGAAAGAATTAAGGGTATAATGTTAAGAAATGCTGAAAGCATATGTTTTTATGGGTTTCCCATTTTAATGGCATTTTAATGTTGGTTTCCACACAAGGGCTAGTTATTGGAGGGCAGTGGGGATGGATCACCCTGGTTGAAAACCACTGTCCTAGAGCCTTTGGAGTTTATGGAAGAGCTGCTGCTGGCTGCAGTAGGGTTAGGATTTTATTTTGAGTACTTTAATTTCACAAGTGAAAAATACAGGGGGAGCTGGGATTTTTGTTGTTGCTGTTGTTTTTGTTCTTTTTTTAACATCAACCCAGCAAATCTATTTGCCATCTGAAAATTAAGGTAGGTTCTGACTTTCTCTTGCATCAACACCAATAACAAAAAGACTGCAAGCCAAATTACGCCCTCATCTACACCTGGGAATCTTTTTTGTCTTTATGACACCTGTGCAACCCACTGCCTGTATTGGGTTTGCAGAGGAGGAAATAATTGAAACTTAGGCTTTCTGTCTTCTAACTGTGGTGGATCTGCAGGACTTTCAGTAGTAAAAATAACAGCAGATGATTTTTATCAAAACATTAAGCAGATGGAAGTCAGAGTGCACCCAAGGAGCACATCTTTTGGGTAAGAAGTTATCTTTTTTTACCAGATGCATTTTGGACAGAAGCAAATATTAAGGTTATATAAATAAAGTTAACAACACAGGGAGGACCAAAAACAAAAGGCAAAAATCACTACAGTACCACTGGGGATATCTGAACATGTTACGGTTCTGAAATTATAAAAATGTTGTGAATATGATCTTGCCATTTGTCCTTTGCAAGCAAAGAAGGCCGCATCCAGCGGGGGGAAGGGGGCAGCTTGGAGAGCAGTGTCTAGCTGGTAAGTCCAGCGGGAGGAGGGAAGGGCCATGAGGAGAGCAGATAGTGGCCCCCACAGTGAGGGAGGAAGTGGGGCTGGGGCTGGTGCAAGGGCAGGTGCTGCTTAGCCGTGGCATGACAGGATGTGGGGCGGAGCCAAGGGTGGCTTGTCCAGTGGGTGTAGGGAGTGGGGGGCAGCTTCCTACCGCTTTGCACACCTTTAGGGCAGGCATGGGGGGCATGTGACCCCTGGATTTGTGCATAGGGCAAAGGTGGCCTGTGGGCTTGGGACCAGGGGCTGCACCAGCTTCTTCCTGGTGGGGGGTTTTGCTGGGGCTGTGCTCAGGGTGGGTGGCGGTGGGACTGGGAGGGGTGCCTACATCAAATTTGGGGCATCAGTAGCCCATCCCATAGGTTCCCTCCCAGTGCCACTGCTGTCCACCCTGCCCTGGCCCAGCCCCACCCCCCTATCGGGAAGAGGTTGGCACAGCCCCTGGCTCCAAGCCTGCAGTGGGCAGCCCACCTTCACCCTGCACACAAATCTGGGGGACAAATGGCCCCTATGTCTCCCCCAGTGGTGTGCACGGTGATGGGAAGCTGCCCCCTCCCCCAACCCCGGATGAGCCGCCCGCAGCTGTCCCATGCCCTGCCCCACCCAGGCTGGGCAGTGCTTGCTCCTGCTCCAGCCCCACTCCCTCCCTCACTGTGGGAGTATCAATCTGCCCTCCCCACGTGCCTCTTCCTTCCCACAGACTTATCCAATAGACATTGCTCTCCAAGCTGCCTGGGTGCATTCCTGACCACACATATTCATGAGATTGTGTGCATACATGTGGCATTTATCGGTGACATTATCAGCCAAAAAAGGCTGGTTGCTAATACTGTCAATTTTCTTTTATTAGTGCGTATACGATATGGACCAATATATTGGTGCATATCTAGAAGTAACATACCATTAAGTTCAGGACAGGGGATACGGCTAGAGCAGTTCTGCATTTTGATGACTTCCTTGCTGCAGTCTGGTTACAAGTCCATATTTTCCCACACTCTCTGGGCTTCGGTGTATGTAATCTTTAACTCATAGTTGTCTCCTATTAAAATGTGGCCTAACTGTTGCTATTATGAATAAATATAAAAAAAAACTTAAGTAAAATTGACACTGCTTTAATAGAAGTTCTAATCCATTATTTAAAATGCAGCTATCATCATTTCAGGCAAAATATAGCTTGCCATTTATTATGCATTATCAATTGTTAAGGCACTGATTTAATGACTGACTGACCTGTGACAAAAGAAACTTTATAGTGCATCTTAGAACACTAGTTCTATATGTAAAGCCTATTGAGATTTCTATTTATTGGCAGCTAAAGTGTACTTAACAAGATTAGCTTTCTCTTTTTATGGTGAGCATGCTTACTTATGTATGCAGGCATAGTGTTGATAGAAGAAGTGAAAAAGTAATACCGAGTACCAATTAATGTCCTGTTTTTCCTGTCATCACTGAAAGATTATTTTTATTCAGGTTTTCAGAAGCTATTTACCTTTAGGTTTTGTAATGCTAACCAGAAGCTTTACTAAACAATAGCTGTCAACATAAAGCTAATTTGTTTGTCAGAAACTTCAAGGTTCTCACTATTCAGTATACAATATATGCATTGTGTGAAGCTATTTCTTAGAAAATGTTTTACAAGCATCTCAATATATAAAGTACCCTACTTGGTTACTTAATATACAAATGAAAATATTTGAAATTCCAGAAACGACTTCAAGCAGTGATCAGTTTTGTAACACAAGTAATGAGTCTGATCTTGACAAAGACTAAAAAACAATTAGAGTACAAATCTGGGTGCTCAGTCTGAGAACCTTGAATGGATTTTCGGTGGGTGAAATATGTGTATGTGAGGATATGCCACATCTCATTAGCAAACTCTGTATGAGTTTTTCTTTAATTGATTAGATGTGGAAAAATTCATCTAGTTTTTCTCTCACATGTTGTGAACTCATATATTTTTCTCAACTGTTGGGTGGATGATTTGAAATATTCTTTCCTAAAAATGTCAGATTTCATTTAATGTCTACTTTTTCCTTCCCACGTTTCTTTTCTTATAGGTTTACTTACTGTATATCCCCATGCCAGATAGGCCTCGCTGGAATTCATTTAGCTCTCACTGGTCACTGATAGTGAATATTTGTGAGACTTAATCAAACTATCGCTTGTGTATAATGTAAATATGTGTGAAAAATGCTGCATGTGTAACTTTATTTTTGGCTTTGACCATGTTTTCATCTAAGTGTAGTTTTAGAGAACAGATTCTTAGCAGAGGTACTGGAATTGTCTTCTTTGCATTTCCAACCTGTTGCAGAATGAGAACATGCTTGTGTTAATACTTTTTGTCCTCTTCAGTTGCATCTTGCAGGAGTTATGCAAATCTGAATGTGCTTCTGCAGCATGGTCACACAAATTTTAGTCAGATTGCATCCTTTTGAAGTTAACAAGAAGCTGGTCACACATGTATCTAGGAGGGCATGGCATGAGCATTGTGGCTTTGGCTTTTATTTAAAAATAAAAGTTGATAGTCAGTCATTTACATTCAGTCTTTGCATGTTAGTCTAAGCTGCAGAAATTAAACTGAGAAACAACTGGACACACATTTATTTTTGATTCAGGGAATGCAACCACATGCCTACAGTGGCTCAGGTCAGAAGCTGAGGGTGCTAGAGCATGGCTCTCGGACATGCAGCCAGCATGGGCTGTGTGTTTGTTTCCTTTTCCTGCTGCCCCAAGGTCTCTGGGATTTGCAGTCCAGAATCACAGCAGCAGGGCTCTCCAGGGTTGCTCATCAAGTCCTCTTCCTGCTTCCAGGTGCCTCTGGGATTTGTAGTCCACAGTGCTCCCCCCCCCTCCAGCAACTCTTTTTGGGTGGAGCAGACAGCACAGCACCGTCCAGCCCAGGGCTGGAAAGCATGCTGGGATGATGGGAGACTGATTTAACTTGAAGCAGGAAGGGTTTCATAAACCAGTTTGAACCAAATCAGTTAA